CCTCTTTGCCTAGGCCTGCTGGACAAGGGTCTCTTCAAATTGGGAGAGGCCGTGATGCACTGCCTGCCTCCAGGCTGAATGCTCAGACATCAAGGTTTCCCAACTACTGAGGTCCATTCCTAAGGCCTTCAGATCCCGCTAGCAGATATCCTTGTATCGCAGCTGTGGTCTCCCTCTGGGGTGATTTCCCTGCACTAGTTCTCCATATAGGAGATCTTTGGGAATCCGACCATCAGCCATTGTCATGACATGCCCAAGCCAAAATAGATGTTGCTGTTTCAGTAATGTACACATGCTCGTTCTAGGACGACTTTGTTTGGAACTTTATCCTGCCAGGTGATACAAAAATGCATCGGAGACAAAGCATATGTAATGTGTTTAGCTTCCTCTCCTACTGTGCACAAAGGGTCTAGGACTCCCTGCAGTACAGGAGTGTACCCAGGGATCTTGGTATATGCCGTTCAGCTTCTTATTAAGCCATAGTCTCTATGTGAGTCTAGAGAACATGGTAGCTGGTTGCCAATGCGTTTATCCAGCTCAACATCTAGGGAGAGAGTGTCAGATATCGTTGAGCCAAGATACCCAAAGTCGTGAACAGCCTCCAATTCTTGTGTGGAGATGCTAATAGAGAAAGGTGAGTCCACACCCTGGCCTATGACTTGTGTTTTCTTCAGGCTAATGGTTAATCCAAAATCTTGGCAGGCCTTTGCCTAGAGTGGTCGTTCGACTAGATAGGCAGGGTATAAATGCAATCAATCAATCAATCAATCAATCAATCAATCAATCAATCAATCAAATGATTCATGAGTTGTTAGAGGTCTTCAGCAGCATGGGCAACAAAAGCTGCAAATGAAAGCATTAAATAAACCCAATACAAACTATTTCCTGTTATTGTTCAAAGCATGTCATTGCATTATTCCACTGTAGCTCACCACAATCATGTAAGCACAGCTAACCTTTCTGACAGTTTGCTTGCTTAGGTAGAACAGCAAATAGCAGATCCACCAACCCAAGGCACATAATGCACCAGTTAAGTGACTTTGGACTAGGAAACTTGTCAGACATTTAGACAGTCTTCATTTCTTTGTGGGCTTTAATTTCACTTTTGTATTCAGTAGGGCAAAACTCTGTCTTCAACACTTCTGTCTGGAGGGTGTGTGGTCATCAAAATAGCTGAAGGTTTCTGTTAACAATCGACAAGGATAGAATATATACAGTTCAGTTGTACTCATGTTTTCACTGTCATTTCGGAAACATCATACTGTATATATAGGAATACCAGGAATTTTCTTGTCCAAGTATTCCCTGCTCATTTGCTTATATAATGGGTGGATACAATTAAAACTGCCCTGCAATATGCTGTAATTCTTAATAGTTCAAAATGAACCTCACCTACAACATCACAAGAATTTGCAGAGTGCATGTTAAATAATATGATAGTCTTCAAACAGGGAAGCCTTGTGGGAAGATGACTTGTGGGAGAGAGGCTAAACAGGAGAGCTGACTGGGACAAGGATCTTGGTATCAAATTAGATGTTATGGGGATTGCACATTCTTTCTGATCAACTCTTTTGACCTCACACCGTGAGAGTTCCTCAGAAATATGAGAGTTGAAACTTAAACCCATGTTTATTTTCCAGTGGCCACTCATAAAACAAAGCATGGTAAACGCAAGACACAGCGTGAAGAAAACTGCATGCTATGGCAAATGTTGTTCAGCAGTCTTCTGGAACAATGCTATGTGTTTCCAGCCCTAAAGCCAGTGTGACAGAAGAAAAACAACAGAGTATTCAGGGCACTAGTCTAAGGAAAGGCCCATGGAACAAGGCCTGTTCTGTCTGTATTTATAGATTTAATGCTTAATTAAAACATTTGTTTCTTGACTTTTCTAATACAAGAGAATCAGGAGGTTTAGCATGGAAATGTAATCTGAAATTAGACATAAGCACAAACTTCAACAAATCAATTCTTTCTTTTTACAGCTACTCCCTCATCACCCCCAGTGTCTTGTGGGTGGAGAGCGAAGAGCAGGTTGTGGTGGAGGCTCATGGACTCAACGTTGCGACAGAGGTCACAGTCAATGTCCAAGATTTCCCACACAAGAGGAACAACTTGTACCAGATCAAAGCTTCCCTGACGCCAGAAAATGGCATGATGGCAACTCCATCCATAAAGGTGTGTGTGTGTTTGGTATGGTTATAAATGGTGTTACTGTAAAACTGTAGCTAGAAATTTTGAAACGTGCCCCCAGATCAACTTTATAATATTGAAAGTCATGTTACAATAGAGTTACAGCAAACAAGCGCTCAGAAAGCCAACTTCTTCATGTAATAGAAAGGGGGGGAAATGGAAACAAGTCTTATTAGAAACTCAAGCTTGGTGGATTGAGACAGACCTTGGAAATGTACTACAGTGGTGCCTCGACTTAAGACCATCCCGACATACGACCATTTCGAGTTGCAACCAGCTCCGGCTGCAAAATATTGCTTCGACTTGCGGCCAGAGCTTCGAGTTGCAAACAGAAAAGAAGCAAGGAAAAAAGGTGGGGAATTCAAATGTAGGTACTAACCATTGGTCAGTGAAGAGCTTCTTTGAAGCTCTTTCGCCCCAATGGTTAGTGTGCATAGGAGGAGGCTTTGGACTGCCTGGTGCTGCTTTCTCCTCCTGAGTAAGCAATTTACTTTGTTTTGCAGGGTGGGCTTGGGTTTGGGAGGGGTTATGTTTCTGTGCTGTGATTTTTTTGGTGTTTTTTTCCCCAGCCCCATCGTGTTCTGATGGGGCTTGTTCTGTTTTTTTAATTATTATTTTTTCTCTCTGTGTGGGTGTTTTTTGTCATTTTTTTTCCAGCCCCATCGCATTCTGATGGGGCTTGCTCTGTTTTATTTATTTATTTTTGGATTTTTTTTTTCTGGCCAGAACAGATTAATGGGGTTTCAGTGTATTCCTATGGGAAATAGTGCTTCAACTTATAACAATTTCGAGTTACGCCCATCTTCTGGAATGGATTATGGTCATCAGTTGAGACACCACTGTACTTTAGAGCCAGTGGTCCCCAACCTTTTCCAAATTGTGGTTGGTCATCAGTTGAGACACCACTGTACATTAGAGCCAGTGGTCCCCAATGTTTTCCAAATTGTGGACCAGTTGAGGGGATGGGGTCCGTGAGCAGGGGGGCGTGGCACTCCTGTGCTTGCAGGTGGGCAGGGAGTGCTCGCAGGTGGGTGGGATGCACTCACATGCATGCACAAATTGGCGGGGTGCACTCATGGGTGGGCAGGGTGCAGATGGGTGGGGCATGCTTGCAGGTGGATGGGGAACACTTGCACACATGCGTGGATGGGTGGGGTACTCTCATAGGTGGGTGGGGCATGTTCATGCTCATGTGTGGATGGGTGGGATGCCCGTGCAGGTGGGTGGGCCATGCGTGCGGGGGGGGAGGTCTGTCTCCGCGGCCTGGTTCCAAAGCCCCAGTTAACTGAGGGTTCTGGGCACTGTATTTTTTCCCAAAGGTAGCATTTCCGAGATCTGTTCCCAGATCACTCAAGGAAGGCAAAGACTGGGTGAGAGATGTAGTGCGGAGAGAGACACTGTTTGCCTCGTCTCTACCTTTGGAGACACAAGCATCCTCACCACATCAACAAATTCTTGCTGGGTGTTTCATGGAGCTCCCCATCCACAGGCGAGGGAGTAGAAAAGGGACTTACAGGATTTTTTCCCCTCCTGGTGTGCCTCATGCTGTTGATTTCAGCAAGCTGTATGGAAATTCTTTACTTTGAAATAAAAAAGGCCACCAATTTAACTTGCCCACCTTCCTTTTCCCTTAGCAAATACCAATATACAATTTCTGTAGCATTATTAGCTATGCTAGTAGTGTCCAGGATAAATTACTTCTCTTGTTCCTGATTTTTCCGCACAGATACCTGCAAAAGACCTCATAAAAGATTCCAAGAAAAAGATGTATGTTGTTGTCCAGGCCATCTCTGCAAAATTCACTCTGGAGAAAGTGGTTCTTGTCTCCTTCCAGAGTGGTTATATCTTCACCCAGACAGATAAAACTATCTATACTCCTGGATCACCAGGTAAGAGCCTCCTGTTAATTCCACCTGTAGGCATACATGGGAATGGGTAATCTCTGTAAGAACTGTGTTTATTTGTCCGTCCGTCCGTCCGTCCGTCCGTCCGTCCGTCCGTCCGTCCGTCCGTCCGTCCGTCCGTCCGTCCATCTATCTATCTATCTATCTATCTATCTATCTATCTATCTATCTATCTATCTAATAACCTTAACAGGCTCTCCCAGTAGACAAAATGAGTTGAGGAAATGAGTAATTGAGGAAAGCTTAAGGCAGTGCAAATTTCACTATGCCACCTACTAACACTGCAATAAAACTACAATAAAACTGCAGTAACAAGATTTTTCTTCCTCTGCCTCTATGGCCACTTAAAACTGAAGAGAACCGAGTCTCCCAGTGTGTCTTCACAGTGAGAGAATGTGAGTGAATTCACATTTCACTCATATAGTTGCATCCTACAAATTATTCCTCTCATTTTAATTCACAGACAACTGAAATTAGTTTCAAAGGATGCCCCAACTCAAAGCCTAGAGTGTAGACCAGCCTTTACTTTTTTCTGCAGTTATCCAAATTCAGGGCAGTTTCCGTTATCAACAGCCATGGGATGATTGTTTTAAAGGAAGTTGAAAGAGAGTGTCAGATGGATTAGTTCTCTAGTATGCTTGATTATAATTAAAAAACAAAATAACTGAAGTGCAGCTGGAATATACATCACAGATTAGGAAGGGAAAAAAATTAAATCCAAGAGGATGCTGTGGCTAATGAGTAAAGGCAAGGTATTTATAAAATTCAAGGAGGCTTTTGGGGCGGGGAAGGGCAATTCTTTGGTTACTGCATTATGTTTCCAAGGGGTCAAGTCCGACTGGCTGTTTCTTAACAGTCCAAGGGCACTATAGGCAAGGCATATCCATTGAATAGACTAACTTAGGCAAGGAAAGTCTAAAACAGTGGTTCTTAATCTTTGTTACTCAGAAGCTTTTGAACTGCAACTCCCAGAAACCCCAGTCAGCACAGCTGGTGGTGAAGGCTTCTGGGAGTTGCAGTCCCAAACTCCTGAGTAACCCAAGGTTAAGAACCAGTGGTCTAAAACAGAGTTGGGGTGTGGGTACATTGAAAAATAATGCAGCAAATACTATTAAGACTGGGATGATTGGAGTAACATTGTTTTCCGTTTATTACATGATATAAAAGTTAATGCAGATCAGCCCAGAGTTTGCCCCCTCTAATTCATAGTGTTTTTTTCCCTTTGCTGCTGGGGCTTCAACTTTTTTCAAATTGAATGCATTCACATCAGTTTGGGTGCTGTGATTGCCTGAGCTGATGTAGAAGGGTTTGTAGCTGTTGTGTCTGAAGTAATTCTAGCCAGTTACAGTAGCAATGAGAGAGACAGGGCAAAAGGGAAATTGGTTGTCCTGGATCCTCTCCTCTTCTCAACCTAGTGCCTGGCTCTGCTTTCATTTTCCCTTCCCATTCACGTTTTTTTCATTTCTTCTTTTCTTTCTTTTTCTTTTATTATTATTATTTATAAGATCCATCCGTGCGTCTTTAACATCGCATCACCTGCGCTTATAATCATTTGTTAATACAGCTACATGTTAAGCCCTTAATCTATACAGGGTGCACAGTCCAATATCTTTTTAATTATTTCTTCATCTGGGGATGTTTCTTCATTCTTCCAATACTGTGCAAATATGATCGTTGCTGATGTTAAGATATCTAGTATTAAGTACTGTACTGTATACACTTTGTTGATCGACACTCTCTGGTATTATGCCTAATTAAAAATATTCTGGCTTAAAGTCTACATTAAAAAATTTATTTTAACAAGCCATATATCTATTTTTATCCAAAACCCTTTTGCTTTATCACATGTCCCAGTTGTTTTTAATGACATTTTCAGCATTTGCTTGACCAATTAGAGAATATTTTAGCTAATCAATCGGGTAGTAAATGCCATCTAGAAAACATTTTATATAAATTCTCTTTATAAGAGAATTTTCTTTCTTTTAATGGCTTGCTAATCCAATGCTAGGGCAATTAGGCAAGAAGCCTCATGGCAGAGTGTTTAAACAGCAGCAAAGACTCTGTTCAGGACCTGAGTTTGTTCCCCAACTCCAGGAAGCCGGCTTGAGGCAGATTCATCCTTCCATCCTTCCAAAGTTGTTAAATTGAGTTATCTAGGTTGTAGTGAGGGTGGGGGTGGAGCGGGCAATGTGTAGCTTACGTAATTAAATTGTAAATTGCTTAGAGAGCTTCCAGCATTATGGGGCAGGGTATAAGCAGCACACTTTGCTTTTGCTTTAGGCAACCACGTTAAAAAAGAGTAAGGACTGGGCAGAGAAAGAGAGGAGGAAGTTTTAAGGTAGATTTGCTTGAACTGTGCCTCCTGCAAATCTTCCTTAAACTTCTGTCTTCTCCTCTCTCTCTGTGCCCTGCTTTTTTTAAAAAGAAACTGGAAAGAAATCCGAAATAAAAATTTTATCCTGTCTCTCTGCCAATTCCTGTCGCTCTTTGGCTAGCTAGATGTCCTAGCAAGCCTTTAAAAAAGAAAGAAAGGGAACAGGAAGAGGAAAAGACGCCGACCCAGCCAGCAGGTGTGGGGAGCAGCAGATAAATGGTTAACATAAATAAGACTGATTTCCATGTCTCACTCTGTGCTGACTTCTGTGTGATTGGCTGAAGCAAATTAACCTGGGGAAACTGAATTTCCAAGGTGTAGCTTCACAGCTAATCTGTTTGTATTTTCCCCACTGTACAGTCGCATCCTCAAAAGGCAAAGCAGGGATCAAACAGAGTTCTTCCACTGAATCAGATAAATCAGGTGAAGGTGATCTGGAGAGGAAGGAAAGATGTTGTTGAAAGTGCCCCTGGATCTTTTCTCTGGATCAAGGGATATTGCTGCTGTTTTGGGGGGGGGAAGGGCTATACATGAAAGTTTGACCTTGTCTGATAAAAGTTCCAGTTCTTGGCTTTTGAGATTCAGTGAGATATCAAACAGCTGAAGAGAGTAAATGTAAAAAGATACATTTTTCCACCTTGTGAAGTCATTTCCATGATGGCACCACATTTCCTTAACATTTGTCACAAATTAATAATGACCTCTTGTTTCTTCTCAGTGCGCTACCGTATTTTTTCTATGGGTCATGACATGGAACGTTTGGACAGAAATGTGATAGTTGAGTTTATGGTAAGTGTTGTGTGTTCAACAGAAAAGGAAAAAAAATGGTGTAGCTCTTGAATTGTGCGTTTGGATTATGTGTCTGAATATGTGCGATGGATGTCTTCATGTTTATAATCCGTGCTCTTGATTCTTCATTACAGTTTTATTTGGTTTTGTGATGATCACTGAGGAAGACCTCAGATGACTCTTAATAGCTTTATTTTGGTGGGGAGGAAATATTTTGTGTGTGCATTTTTCATGAATTTTAATTTCAGATTTTAAAAAAAGGAAATGCTGCCCAATGCCTCCAGAAACTCTGGATTAATACTATTTCTCTAAGGAACAGAGCACACATTCAGGGCAATCCATTTCTCCAAGTGACAAAAAAAGAGAGCAAATGTGCATACATGTTCAAAGGGAAGCATGTATTTCGCTGGGATTGTTGAGTCACACGTAACAAAGCAGTTCACATTGCTGTAAGAAATGATGTAAAAGCAGGACAGATGCAGTTGTCTGAAAGGTTGCTTTCACCGTATTAATATATTTCTTATTTGTGGTATTCCTGCAGCGAACCAAGAGTGAAATGTCCATTTTTATCCTCAAAGCTACTCAGAGTTCTGGCTTAACCCAGACCAACCCCCATTTGTTTTGTGGCTGTGTTCAAATCTGGATTCAGGTTTCGCTGGTCTAGATTCAGTGCTCTGACTTTTACATTACTTAGTTTTTCCGCATCCCAATGGCAGACAACCATTGTGAAGACAGGCTGAATCTTGTGCTTTACAAGAATTATTACCATGTGGGATATAAATAATATGTGTGGGCATTTTTTGGGCATTCAGACATTTTTTAAAACTTGGTTCCCTCACCACCACCCCAGACACCTGAAGACATTGTTGTCAGCCAGAATACGATCAACCCTGCATCAACCGTCACCCAGACTTACAACTTACCAGAACTTGTCAGGTAATTTACTACATAATGCCATATAGCAAACCTGCACAGAAATTGAGCTGAAACAGCAATTTTGAAAAAACAAAACAAAAGAAGACTCATTTAAGGTAGGAATATTCTGAGCACTTGTATACATTTTGTTTGTTGGAGTACAGTAGTTGCTATTGCTTGTTTTAAAGGCTGGCTACACTGTGATTTATCCCCTATTTTGATCTGCTGACAGCATAGTGAGGTGTGGTCTATTTTTATGAACCAAACCAGCCCTTTTAAGTGTTAAATTAGACCTTTTCGGATAATCAGCAGGGGCTACTATTTTCTCTGCTGTGAGTTGCAATGATTTGTTTTAGTTGCTTCCCGGCATGTGTGATTACAGATCTTGCTCTAAAGGGGCAGGCATATGGGTGTACGCCTCTCCCTTTCTTCTGCTCCTGTCTGTGCTCCAAATGCTTTTCTTTTCTTTTCTCTTTTTTTGTATTTATTATCCAAAGCATCATCATCCCACTTCCAAAGGGAGGGAGGGAGAGATGCTATTTCTTTCTCAGATGTCTTTTTAGATTACGAGAACATGGCTTTTGAGTGATTTAAAGCGCAGTGTGATTTCTTGTCCCAAAACTACCTGGGAAAAGTCCACATGTGTGTCTGAACAGAAGGATCCATTTAAATGGCATATAGCACACTTCAAGCAACCCTTTTGAACCAAATTTGGTATAAGGCAAGCTGGGGTAATTTCCCTCTCTGGACACATCCTTGGTCCTGCCCATTTATTCCCTTCTGTCTTTCAAGGAAAGCAGGCAGCACTAATCCAAACAATTTTCCCAACACCCCTGTGAGATGGATAGGTGGATACTGGATGTTCTGTGCCACTCATGAAGTCCATGGGCAAATGGATATTTGTAACTTGAAAGGAAGCAGACCTAGATTTTATCCCTTTCTGTTCATGTCCTACAACTTTGTGGTCATTCATTCTATTCAGAGTTTGAGCCTGTTTTCCATGGATGGACATAGAAGATCATAAAATATATCCAACTCAATTGTCATCCCAAACGTGTTTGAGAAGAGCAACAGCGGTCATTTCATGCATGTTCTCATGTGTGTATAAAACAGAAACTAATTAAGAACTTTTTCATTTTATTTTTCTAGTTTGGGAACCTGGAAAGTTGTGGCCAAGTATCAAGATGCCCCAGATGAGAGTTTCAGCACACAGTTCGAAGTCAAGGAATATGGTAGGAAGAAAAGCTAACCTTGTGCCGAGCTTTCCCTCCCTAATTCCCAACTTCATTCTTTTTAATCCAAGTAGATTTTTAGGTAAGACTAATTACAAAGAACATAGTTTTGCTGCTATGTACTTTTTAGTGTCCATAGATAACAATGGCTGACTCTACAATTTAAACAACAGACTCTTCCTCAGGGAAGACGCTTTGTTTTCTCCCTTTTTTCACTGGAACATTGACAGTTTATCCTACAAGATTGCTGGCTTTATTTATTATAGATGAAAAGATGTTTGAGAAGGAAAGCCCATATGATAAGATCTGCTGCCAGTCTTTCATGAATGCTTATGTTCTCTTATTCCCCCATCACTTTTTCCAGTGTTGCCAAGCTTTGAAGTTGTTGTGGAACCAGCAGAGAAGTTTTATTACATTGACAGCAACAGAGATTTCCAAGTGTCTATCACTGCAACGTAAGTGTATGCCAACCTAGGAGAAAAACAAAGTGTCAAAACAGGTGGATTTGGGGGAGAATTTGGAGGAGGAGATTTCAGAAATTCTTTACGCATTCATAAAGGGATATCTCCTTTAGGTCCCTGGAGCTGCAACGGATGTGTTGAAGCAATCACATTTGTTTAGATAAAATCAAACAATCATAGAATAATGGAGCTGGAAGGGGCTTATAAAGCCATCGAATCTAACCCCCTGCTCAGTGCAAGAATCCAAATCAAAATATATCAGACAGTAAAGGTTCCCCTTGACATTTAGTCCACTCGTGTCCAACTCTAGGGTGCGGTGCTCATCCCCGTTTGCAAGCCATAGAGCCAGCATTTGTCTGAAGACAGTTTCCATGGTCACGTGGCCAATGTGACTAAACACAGAACAGCGTTACCTTCCTACTGAGGTGGTACCTATTTATCTACTTGCATTTTTACATGCTTTCGAATGGCTAGGTTGGCAGGAGCTGGGACAAGCGATGGGAGCTCACTTGGTTGTGGGGATTTGATCTTATGACTGCTAGTCTTCTGACTTTGCAACACAGAGGCTTCTGCGGTTTAACCCGCAGTGCCACCACGTCCCATAGTTGTCTAATTTTCTAAGGAATACTCCTAGCATTGAAGTGCTAGCATTATCATATCCTTCGGTAATTGGTTCCAAGAGCCAGATTTAGATCTTAGGGTCCCCAAGGTACGTTAGGTTCAGTGGACCTCTCATACACAGGAATTAAAAATATATGGCAAATCACCATATTTACACATAAAAGTCCATGTATTGCACATTGTTAGATCCTATATGTACATAGAAAGGTTAAATGAATTATATATCTGAAGTAAGTACATGTATACATGCCAGCAAAACTCCAAATAGATTTTTAGGTGAGAAAGATTACAAAGAATGTAGCTCTGCTCCAATGTACAATAAATAAATAAATAAATAAATAAATAAATAAATAAATAAATAAATAAATAAATAAATAAAATACATGCCAGCAAAAATCCAAGTAGATTTTTAGGTAAGACAAATTACAAAGAACATAGTTATGCTGCTATGTACTCTTTAGTGTCCATAGATAACAATGGCTGACTCAACAATTTAAACAACAAAATTAAACTCGGAACTTGTCAATGCAATTTTTTTAAAGTTTATCTAAGCTAAGTACAGTAAATTATATCAACGTACAGCTACTATGTATGCATCACATTACAATATCTACATAAAAATCTTTGTTTCTATACTTGGCATTTGAAAAATATTTAATTAACTCCTCAAAACGTATCTTCTTTAGAACACTGCCCTCTACATTGAGTAGTCTTTCATGAATAATCATGGTTCTCAGATAATTCTTTATTAGTGCCTGTTTGCCGAATGATCTCTCTCCTGAATGACCATCATGCTCAAATATATTCTAAAAGCTACATTAACATGGAAAAGTATCAATGACAAATTAGGTTCACTACTTTCTTCAGGTCAACTTCAACCGCTTGAATAACTTTATGTGTGTCGTTGAAACATTCAAGAATTAAATTCCAGATCTTGGCCATCAGAGCAATTTCAGGGCAGTCCGTTTTGCCTGCCAATGTCTGAGCTTCACATGTCATGCTTCAGGTGTTTGCTCCAAGTCAATTTCAATATCTTTGAATCTACAAGGGCTTCAGTAGCATCAGCTCTTGCTGAGCAACAAGTGTTTGACAGGGACTTCAAAGTTAGTGCTTTTTTATTTCGTTTCAAAGACTTCATTACATTGGCCAAGTTGTGAGACATACCAAAAAAGGACTATAACTTTTGTATGAAGCCAAAATAACTAACAGCTATTAGTTATTATAAAGCAAGAGATAGCAGTACTCTTAACAAAATTCAATGAGTGAGCAGCACAGGGAATGATCAATGTGTCTATCTTTACAAGCTTTATTTATCTACATTGCTATTTGAAGATTGAATGTAAGTTGCAGGCAAATATTTAAGTCATGTTATAATCATGTTTCAGGATTTAAGGAGCATACATTAAAAGAAATGCAGGAACTTATAGCCTGAACAGGCAGAGAATACATCTCTAAAATAAATCATTAAACGTAAAAATGTTAAAAGCTTTTAAAGCCTTATCCTAAAACCGTAACTCTTAACGTCTATTGCAGGGAGGGAATCTGTATCTCCTGTGTACTTTCTTTGTGCTGCTTCATTATCTTTTCCTATTGCTTGCAATGCCTGCCTGGCATCAGTTCAACTCCTTATTGATAATTATTTTGCAATAATTATCTTTTCAAAGATTCAGTTTTAAAAGTAATTTTAGGGCACTTTTTCCTGCAATTACCATAGTCATTAAACATTCTTCGACAGAGTTTCAAACCTTGACAGCACTGCACATTTGCCTGCAGGGTCATAGACTGTCTTTTGGGAGAAAACTAAGCTAAAGTAAGAACTCAGCACTTCTGCCTTTTCTCTTCCGTCCCCACTGAGTAGCTGAGCCACTACTGTATTTCTTATCTCTGATTTTCTTTTTCCTACACATATACTGTATCTGAAGAATGCTTTTTCGTTGCTTTTAGGGTTTCTTGATAACCCCTCAGCCTTTCTAACACCATTTGTGCAACCTTTCTGTACTCTTCCTTTGTGGCCTGGCCTTCCTTCCACTTCCTACATGAGCCCTTTTGAAAAATACAGTCAGGTCATCTCTGCCTTTTTTGTGAAGCCACACTGGGTTTTTTCTCTCTCTCTTCTGTCTTTTTTTTCTTCTCGGAATTGTTTGTAGTTGTGCCTTTAGAATTTCTCTTTTTAAAGAAACTCCCACCCATCTTGGACTCCTTTTTCTATCAAGCTCTCCTGCCACAAGACCTTAGGTATAACTGTCTTGAGTTAATTAAAATTGGCTTTCTTATAATCCAGCATATGTGTGCAGCCATAAATGTGACTGTAAGAAACGATTCTGTTTCCCTCATTCTTCCAACCCTTGTGATGTTGACTTTAAACCTCTCCCCTCCCACTTTATGTGTGAGCAGGGCACATGAAGAAACAAGGAGGTCTACTTTGGCCCTTAATTTCATTCTGTCCTTCTAGATTTCTCTATGGGAAAAAAGTAGAAGGCGTAGCCTTTGTCCTCTTTGGAGTGAAAATAGATAACGACAAGAAGAGCATTCCAGACTCACTCAGGAGAATTGAGGTAAGGCTGCTAGTATTTGTGAGTGTGTGTAGAACTGTGTTTCATACAACCCACAGTATGCATTGGATTGTGGATTACCTGAAAGCAGGCACGAAGTTCTACATATCTGACTTTAATGTGATTCTGCACATTAAAGCAGATGTGGAGCAGCCGCCAAATGGCCAGTGCTGGGAAGCTTTCTGCTGCTACTCACCATGCTGGAGTTAGGGCACCAACTCACCTGTTAGTTGTTGTTATGTGCTTTCAAGTCAGAAACAGCTCATGCTGGCCCTAACAGGTTTTCAAAGTAAGTAAAATATTCAAGGAATGGTTTTACCTGTTCTAATCTCCCAGTGGGTTTCCATGTCTAAGTGGACATTACTCATGCTGGCCCTAACAGGTTTTCAAGGTAAGTAAAATATTCAAGGAATGGTTTACCTGTTCTAATCAACCAGTGGGTTTCCATGTCTAAGTGGACATTTGAACCGAGGCTTCCTGAACCCCAGTCTGTTACTCAATCCACTACTACACCACACTAGGTATTCCTCACCTGCTTGACATCTGGCAAAAAGAAAACTGCTGAAGCTGCCTCCCTCCCTTGCTGGCAAAAACAATGTCACCGACCAGTGTTGAGGAAGCCAAGAAGCCTCCTAGCACTGGCCAAGTGGCAGGAATATTCTTGCTTGAGGGCCAACTCTATATTTGCTGGATCTTGAATCCCTGAAACCAGTCCTGTCAGCAGCTGGGAAGCCTCCCAGAACTGGCCTGCTGGTGATGGAAGCCCTGGTGCGATTTAAGAATGGGGCCAATGCATGTTTTTAAAAACTGCACCAACGCTTGTGCATTTGCAGTGTCAAAAGTTGCTGAGAAGTCCCTTTGCAATGTGTGGAATGTGTAATTACAATGTGTGTGCATGCCTGTGTGAATATGTACACTTGTGTATATGCAGCTGACTGTGTTGTGTGTGTCTTTGATTTTCTCCTTTGTCTGGTGTTTTCCTTTCAGATTGCTGAAGGGGAAGGGGAAGCGGTGCTTACAAGAGCTATGCTTCAATCCAGATTTCGCAACCCCAACGAGCTCATTGGGCACTCCCTTTATGTCTCTGTAACAGTGATGACGGCTTCGGGTAAGTGATGAGTTTAAGGCAAGAGGAAATACAAATGGTTCATATGTACAAATAATGGAGTCTACTTTGCTTGATACAGTTCAAAGTTATGTGTCAGACCTTTCAAAATTTCTGCTCAAGATTATTAGATTGTTTGCATCTTTGGCTTTAATTCCTCTACGTCAAACCCACTACATGGAAGCTCTTGTTCAGGAGACTTGGAATTTGCTTATTCCCCTGTTGGTGCAGAGAAAAAACAAGGGGAGGTCTTCACAGTCTGTCCCTTCCCTTGCAAATGGAAAACAAAAAGGACCAATCTGGATGCTTCTTGCTTAATGGAAACAGAGCCTTTTAATTGCTCTCTAGACTAGAAAGATTCAGATACTAAAGGAATGATTGTTGTGCACTGCTGACACCCTTTGGTATTACAGTATCTTCTGCATTTCCATTATACTTTATCAATCAGAAAGTAAGTCTGACTAGAACTGCTCCATTTCACCTTCTCACCCTTCTTGGTGCAGATCTGCCTAGACATTCTTCTCCCATGACCACATCTGGCTCGAGACTGCCCTGCTTACACCGTACCTGTCCTTATGCCCTGGATTTCCAAACAATATATGATGCAGAACACATTGGTCTCTGGTGAAGTGACTGGTCTCTGTGCATAGAAATGTTGACTGTTTCTGTGACAGAGAGTATGTCATCTTGTGTGTACTTTGGATGTCTAAAGGAGCACATGCCACATTCTATAATTCACTGAAGAAAATGGGGTGGGTTTTTTTTTTGTGCATTTGTCATTCTCTGTGTGTTTATTATAGCAGTAAATTGGGTTCTCAGGAGTTGTGGGCCCTCAGTGTGGGGCAAGATCCCAAGAAAGACTTATCCTTTGGCAAGGGAAGTATTAGATGTTTGTTAGCTCAAATGGGGCAGCAAAAAGTCTCAAAGTCTAGGCCCTTGCTGTATATGAGATAGATGTGTACTATATAAAACATGTAGCAGTAGGAATACCAGTAGTAATTGTTGCTATGTACCATAAAGTCATCTCCATCTTACGGTGACCCTGTGAAGGACTGACCACCAAAAGGTTGTATCACTAACAGACCGGCTCAACTCTTGCAAAATCAGGGTTGTGGCTTCCTTTATGGAATCCATCCTTTAGAACAGTGGTTCTTAACCTTGGGTTACTCAGGTGCTTTTGAACTGCAACTCCCAGAAACCCCAGCCAGCACAGCTGGTGGTGAAGACTTTTGGGAGTTGCAGTCCAAAAACATCAGAGTAACCCAGGGTTAAGAACCACTGCTTTAGAGTCTGGCATTGTGTTTCAGTTTCATTTCGATCCTGGCAGCAAGAATGTGCTGCACTGCTTTTTCTGCACAAGGTCCTTGTTGTCAAAGTTCAGCATTGGTTAATATGACCTCTCTGTGTGGTTTTCTCTTCAAAGGACTTAATAGATTTTGTAGTCTATCCAATGCATAGGGCTTCTTCAGAAGACAAGCAGAGGTGAAGTGTAATTCCTTAAAAAACAGAATGTTTGGAAATTATTGGATCTCAAGAGGCTAATTCTGAAATAATTTGGAGGAGATATTTCCTCCCCCTCTAACAATTTGGCTTCATATTTTAGCCTGCCTTTCCTATGTTCTTTCTGCAGGCAGCGACATGGTGTCAGCATTGTGACATCTCCCTATCAGATCCATTTTACCAAAACCCCCAAGTACTTCAAGCCAACAATGCCCTATGAACTGACGGTAACCTCATCTCTTTTCTTCATATGGTGTTATTTGTGCTATCTCAAATCCAGAGAGAAACACATGAACAGCAGTAGAACTCTCACATCACAGATGTGTCAGCGCTAGTGATCTAGGCTCAGGAGGCACCTCTTGATTTCATGCTCAGTCACTTCTTCTGAATTGCTCCAGGTGTATGTCACCAATCCTGATGGCTCCCCAGCCGCCCGTGTCCCTGTGGTGTCAGAGCCCCTTGCAGCAAATGCGATAACACAGAATGATGGGACTGCCAAGCTGGTCCTGAACACGCCAGGAAATGCGCAAGAGCTAAGGATCACAGTAAGTCACTCTGAGTTTATACGAAATATATTTAAATGCATTGTCATTGGTGGTTATTTTACGTTTTACACACAGAACCAAAACAGTGGGTGATTTTCAATATGCTTGCAGTTTCAGGGCACGACACATTGATCATTGGGGGTCACCTGCTTTGTGTTTAGAACTTTGAGTGGGCAACTTGTAAACTTAAGATGGTATTTTCTTGTGGCTTAATTCCATACAGTCCTTGGGCTCATTTCAAAATCCTTCTGGACGTCCTCATTGCTGACCCCCAGCAAAAGATGCAGATCAGGAAGAGGAAAACGGAGGGAGGGAGGGAGAGAGAGAGAACCCACAATCCCACTTATTTTTGTCTTTATCCCAGCTATCATTGGTTTCATCTTCTATGTGTATATACATTCATTTGCACCTACCATGAATCTTCTTATCTCTGAGGTTGTCATTCAAAGGATTCACATTTTCTGTCAGACTTGGTTAATCTTCTCTCCCTCTCTAGGTGAAAACCAACCATGAGGGACTCCCAAGAGAACGCCAGGCAACCAAGAGCATGGTGGCTAGAGCTTACCAAACCCAGGGAGGATCTGGAAACTACCTGCATTTAGCAGTCTCAGCTACTGAGCTCAAGGCTGGGGACAACTTACCTATCAATTTCAATTTGAGAAGCAACAACCAACAAGTCCTAAACAAAAACATGTATTTTACCTACATAGTAAGTGCGATTGATATGAACAGAGTGGAGCTCCAAGGCCTGAATCTTTGTATAACACTGAAGTTAAAGTGGGGGAGGGAACCATGGGCCCCTTCATTGCTGGGGAGTAGGACTTAGGAATCTTCCCTAAAACTTCTGCCTTCTTGAGAATTCCTGAACAGGTTCAGACATGACCCTTATGTGGAGTCAACAATAAGCTTTATGCAGCTAAATGTGGATTACTTTACCATCTATGTCCTCTACAAGGAGGGTTGTCTTCAAATACTTCATAGATGACATCCAACTCCTGAAATCTATGGTGGATTTCAGAATGAGTATGAAGGCAGGATCTGTTCTCAGTCATCCCACAGTGCAGGACATGCAGCAATGGGCTCAAACTGCAGGAAGCCACATTTAGGCTGAATATCAGGAAAATCTTCTTAACTGTTAGAGCAGTATGCCAATGGAACCAATTACGGTACCTCAGAAGTTGTTGAGTACTCCAGTGTTGGAGGCATTCAAGAGAAGATTGGACAACCATCTGTCATTTCTGCTTTGATTTGAATTCCTGCATTGAGCAGGGAGTTGGATTTGATGGCCTTATAGGCCACTTCTAGCTCAATTATTCTCTGATTCTATATTAAATAAACTAAAGTGAGCATGTATACAGAGAGGCTGGCACTTTTCTACATGCATTGATTTTTTTTATCCTGTGGTTTTCTGTTTTCTGGTATCAGGTATTGGCCGATATCCTGTTCCATACAGTAGCTTCCCTGGCACAGTGGAAGTGACATCACCATCATTGGTAGACTGCCACTAATTAAAATGTTCCTCTTTTGAATTTGGGTTGTGTTGAACTTTGCCTCATTATGTCTGAGTTATGCACAACCTAAAATTGAAGGAGGAACTCTTTAATTAGCTGCCATCTTCTACTGGCACTAACATTGCTTCCACTAGGCTGGTAAATCTGCCAGAGGAGGGGGGAAAACGCCTGCACTCCTTGCTTCCAGTGAAGTGTTCTTTAGCTGCAGTGAGTTTAGAAGAGAGAGCGGCTACATATGTTATAGAAATATAGGCTGTGATTACACTGGAAAATAGTATGGGATTTGCTGTGGAGGTAAAATGGATGCAATCGTTTTTAAAAATACTGTATAATCAAATGACACAAAGGCCAGTTGTGGTTTTTAAAAATATAATCAAATGACACAAAGGCCAGTTGTGAACCAGTTTTTCCCCTACTGCTGAAGGCTTCTACTTTTTTTCAAGCTGGACGAATTTGAAGGGTATTTTCCCTGTGTGATCAGTTGTTTCATTCCCCAGAAAGACAAGGAGTGTGACTGTGGATAGTATTTTGGTGACATACTAAGCTGAGCATTCTGTTTTAGACAGTGGGAGCACCCATCTCTATGATCTTTCTCCCTAGTCTCCTGATCCTTCTCCCTTCAAGATGCTTATGAACCTCCATAGTTCCAGAGGATGCTGTTCCTTGGGGTGAAAGGCTCCCAGGCACTATAGTTTACTCCTTGTGTGTATACTTTAGACCGCTGGACTATAAAATGGATTAATTTTATGCTTTTCATTTTGTGGATTGCTTTGGACTATTCTTGGTAAATTTTTAGCTGTCAGTGTATCTTAGATTTTAGCACTCTCTGAGTTGGATTTTGTTCATTTTCTAAAGGAAAAATCTATTGTGCTATGAACTATGAACATTGTTTTAAAATGCAAGAAAGCAGTAAACACTTCCATATTACATTATTGCAAAAGAAGTGAAGAACTGTTCTATTCTGTTGACTGTGTGTGTTAAGTAGTTCCTCCTTCTCAGCATCACATTCTTCAAGCCAATTAATCTCTGAGTTGGATTTTGTTCATTTTCTAAAGGAAAAATCTATTGTGCTATGAACTATGAACATTGTTTTAAAATGCAAGAAAGCAGTAAACACTTCCATATTACATTATTGCAAAAGAAGTGAAGAACTGTTCTATTCTGTTGACTGTGTGTGTTAAGTAGTTCCTCCTTCTCAGCATCACATTCTTCAAGCCAATTAATGGTCATTCCGCATTAAGTAATTCCTCCTTCTCAACATCACATTCTTTAAGCCAGTTAATGGTCATTCCTAATATTATGTCTTGTTTATCATTAGATCTTAACTAAAGGGAAGATACTGATGGCTGGGAGGCAGCCAAGGATAGCTGGACAGAATCTGGTCACCATGTCTCTGCGCATCACCCCAAATCTCATCCCTTCCTTCCGTGTTTTGGCTTATTACCCAGTGGGGAACAGTGAGATTGTGGCCGACTCTGTCTGGGTGGACGTGAAGGACACCTGTATGGGAACGGTAGGTCAGTCTTTCTGATGATTTGTATAGCAATGTCAGTACATGGCACCCTTTTACAGATGCTGCAGTGGGGAACTCTGTACTTGCTTTTTCCCAGACAGCTCCTGTGTCTTCAGTTGTGCGTTGTAAATTAAGCCGTATACTTCTTCTGTTCTTTGACTTTGAAAGAGAGAAGCATGCAGGAGAGATCAGAGTCATATTCACAGTCTTATCTAAGAGCCTGTGATAGGAAAACAGCAGGTTGTCAATTTTCTCTGTCACAAAACTGAACCTCTTGGTTGCCTTTGTTCAAACAGCTGATTGTAAAAGGAGCAACTGCGGCTGACAATCAAATCCATGAACCAGGAGATCTAATGAAAATCAAGGTGGAAGGGGATGCAAATGCTCGGGTCGGTCTTGTGGCTGTGGACAAAAGGCTTTATGTCCTAAACAATAAATACAAACTTACCCAAAGTAAGGTAAGGCAGGCAATTCCTTGGATGTGGGACACCAAGCTCAGATGTTTTTTCACCTTGAACTTTGCTGAAACTATGCACTATTTTTCTCATGGCTTTTATTCTGTTGTAGATCTGGGACACAGTAGAAAAGAGTGATATTGGCTGTACAGCTGGCAGTGGCGTGAACAATCTGGGTGTGTTTGAAGATGCTGGCCTCACCCTGGAGACCAGTAAAAAGCTCTCCACAAAACAAAGATCAGGTATGATGAGATCCATGATCTGACAAAGGATTTGCAAAGTGAAAAGTGTCCTTCATCTGACAGTGGTCTCTTGCCTGCAGTACTAAGGATCTGAAAAGTATGCCCTAAGATCTTGGACAGAGGATGCTGAGATGGAGGATCTGGTAATGACATGTTAATATCTCAGTTCCATCCACAACATGGTTTGCAAAGACATGCCGCAAGCCCCAGAAGGTTGGAATTTCTCAGGAAAAGAAGCATCAGGAATCAGAGTGGAGCAATGTTGGGTTAAATATGTTCTCTCACATTTAATCATTCCTCTGTCCCACATTACATCCGTTGTACACCTTTTTGCATAGAAATGATGGTTGTGGAGTGAGAAGATACCATCACATTTCTCCTATTCCGGCCGCGTTGCATTGGCTGCCCATTCGGTTGACTTCAAAGTTTTGATGCTCATGTTTAAAGCCCTAAACGGT